CAGGGAGAGTAGAGACTGCCACGGGCTGGAACATGAACCCACTCGGTCATTCATCCCTTCTCCTGCCCTCCCCAGAGGCTGAGCGACACCAGCAGAGTAAGTCCGTGCCCCCTGGGGGGACTGTTCTAGTCAGGAGTCACAGCATGTGGCCATCTCTGGAGGTGGCAAAACTAAAGCAGGTGGCGCAGAGGCCACCAGCACCGCTGATGGCTCAGCTGTGGGCTTAGGGGCGGACAGGGAAGAGCACAGACATTGAATAAAGGAGAAAACGAGTCATGTGGGTCTCTAGCCTTGGTAAGGATTGCGCATGCAAAGGTCCTGGACAAAAATGTGTCCAGTGTGCTCAGGGAGCATGGAGTGGGGAGAGAAAACAAGGTCAAGGTCATGTTAAGGTCCCACCAAGCACAGTTTAACCATGAGAGTGTAGTCCAGGCTGCCTGGCAAGAGGGGCTCCCACAACTCCGTATAGCCTGGCCTGGTGCTCCAGGTCCAAACCCACCTTTTCTCTATACTTCCACCACAGGACCCTTGCACATGGCATCTGGAATCCTTTTCTATGTCTAACCTCCATCCTGGTTAACTCCTACCCACACTTCACATCTTAGCTCATGCATCCCAGGCTTCCCCATTCCATCAAGCCCTGTGATCAGGCAGTCCATCCGTCCAGCATAGAACCAGATTCTCGTATGCCCCTGCCCATCCATGGTACTTCATCTGAACCCATGCTCCACCTTCTCCTGCTTGCTTGCCATTACAACCTCCTCTCTCTATCCCGAACCCAAGGGACAGAGATCTTCACCACAACTGCACAAGAAACACCCAAAACACAGCCCCAAATCCTGTGGTCAAAGACTGACTGCAGAGTGAGGAGATGATCCCTGTTTTGCATATGAATGTATCTGGGTTCCCTAAGGACCTGGGATTCCAGGTGAAAGTAAAAGCTTAGGGCAGTCACCAAGATGTCACTCAGCTAGCTCCCAACTACCTGGTCCCCCGCTCAGCTCCTAGCACACTGTGGGTTCTCACGGAGTCTTTTTCTTACAATTATTCTACAGATTCTATTTTTAAAAGTGACTCCAATTTAAAGGACACAAGAAGAGCTTGTTCAAAGGCACTTGAAGAGTTTTAGAAGGGAAACTGAAACCAATAAATGAGCTGTTGTCTGTCACAAAACCCTGGGGAAACTGAGGGAATTGTGTGGGGCCAGGTTAGGAGGCACCAGGCAAACAAGAAAAGCAAACAGCAACTTGTGGAAAAACAATAATTTGTACAGGAAAGGAACTGCAAAAGAGACACCGGACATGAAACAGTACCTGCGGAGCTGTTACCTAAACATTGTATCCTCACTTAATGAAAAACTGACAGATGGAGTTAGCGAAGTAAGTGGATGAAAGCCAACTTTCTTGATATTAGTCAAAAGGAAGTCTGAGCACCTACCCATGCATCAGGCTGAGTGCATGCGGGCAAGTCCTCCCAACAACTCAATCACCTGAAAGCTTGAGAAAAAAAAAATGACCACATGGTCAATGAAGGGAAGACCCAAGCAACGGCCGGCCAGCAGGCTGCTGCACCCACTATGAAGATGACAAAGCCAATCAACATTTGCCCCAAATTAACCAGTAGCAAGGGAAAAAAGCTCCTTAGAAATACAGAGGTAGGTACTAGAGAGGGGGAAAAAAAAATCACTGAAAAGAGCTGAACATGGTTGCTTTGGAAGAGTGAGGCTGGAAGGGGAAGAATCTTCTCCCTGGGGTTCTTTAACCCGAACAGAAGCAGGGAGAGGTCAGCAGGTGGGAGCAGGACCTGGGAGGGGAGGGGCACAGGTGACTTCCCCCAGGGGGTGGGGTTACAGAACACTCTTGGCTAAACTCAGGAAGTGGTGGCCTTTTAAGAGCTGTGTCTCACTGTGTTAAAAATGATAAAATAATAGTAATAGTCCATGGGGGTGGGGAGACGGCTCAGTGAGTGAAGAGTCTGCGGCCCAAGCGTGAGCCTCCGCATTGCAGGGGCACACACAGGTGGACCTCGGGGCTCGACGCTAGCCAGCACACCCGAACACGGGGACTCCAGGTTCAGTGAGAAACCGTGTCTCGAAACAAAGTGGCGAGTATCAGAGGCAGGCCTCCGGCTCCACAAACTCGTGTGCACGCTCACATGCACACGCACAACACATCACATGCAATAAGGTCATCCCCTGAGAGGAAGTGCATTTGGAGGTGGTGGAGTATTCATTGTGTAATTTCTTCATATTTTAAGGTTGTTTTTTTTTAATAACAAGCTGGGGTAAATAGGCCACTAAGTGTGTACTTAAAGTGTATAATATTGTTACATATAGCTGGGGTGGGGAGCTAGAGTTTTGGCTCAGTAGTTTAGAGTATTTGTTGCTCTTATAGAGGACCTGGGTTCCATTCCCAACATCCACATGGGATCCAGTGCCCTCTGGATGACCTCCAGTCACCAGGAACCTATGTAGTGCACATACATACATGCAAGACATTCGGTTATAAAAAATAAAATAAATCTGAAAACAACAAAACTTAGGGAAAAAAGCTAGCTGGGGTGCTGTGCCCACACCTGGATAGGCCACACCCCTTCTGCGTATGTCGAGGTGGCTGTCGCAATGCTCTAGCCTATGCCCCCACTGTGCTCTGGGAATCCAGAGTTCAGGAGCCAATAGCCTAATCCACGCTGCTCTATGCTCCCCTCACCTAGGAAGCCAAGCCAGATGGGGAGGCCTGCCCTAAATTTCCTCGGATGCCTTGCTAGCATAAATAACCATTTACCCAGAGCCAGCCCCTACAGCTAGCTGCATTACACTCCGCCAAAGGGTAAACTGAAGCAGGTCTACGGGGCTTTTCCCAGGGGCCCTTTCAACCTCCAGCGCTGAAATGGATCACCAAACCGCGGTCTCCCAAGATCGTGTATGGTCAGCTAGTGGGGAGAAACAGAAAACAGGTCTCATTGCTGCTTAATTAGGCAGTGGCAGCTGGGGCCAGGCTGGCTGGGAGCCCCAGCACCAGGCGGCAGCTGCAGGGCCTCAGTAGGAATGAACAGCAGCAGTTCTTGAGCTCCTGACTCTCACACTACAATGGAGGAGCTGGCTCCCCAGATCCTAGGGCTGCCAGGAAGAGGGGGACCTCATGGCCTGCTGCTTCCAAAGACTCCTAGAAGACTGGGAACCTTCAGGCAGCATGTGTGGGAGAAATCAAGACTGGTCCAGCCCCACTGCCATTTCCAGTAATGCCCTCCAGAGCCCTGCTCTGCTGTGGAAAGGCACGGCTCTTTACATTCAGGGCTGAGGTCCCCCGACATTCCTGCATTAGACTCCGCCAGATTACCTGATTACCTGCTCTCCCCACACACTGGATGAGAACCATGTCTGATATAGGTACCCCGTAGGTTCTTAACCATAAAACTGATGCGGAAGAGCGCCTGGGTACATGGGGAGGGAAGCATGAGGAAGATGCTGGCTGTGGAGTGTCTGGAAGACCAGGCTGTCTTGTGGTCCTACCCTGTGATGGCCAAGTCACCATCACTGTGTTCCACTTCCTACTCTAAGACCACACCCTTGCCTCTTCTACCATCACCTTGAGAGGGGTGTGGCCACTGTTAACCCCTCCTCCCGTAACAGGGGCTCACCCACTGTTCCTGGAATAGAACCCTGAGTCTTTTTTTTTTTTTTTCAAGACAGGGTTTCTCTGTGTAGCCCTAGCTGTCCTGGAATTCACTGTGTAGACCAGGGTTGCCTCAAACTCACAAAGATCTGCCTGCCTCCGCCTCCTGAGTGCTGGGATTAAAGGCGTGCAACCACCACTACCTGGTTAGAACCCTAATTTCTTCACATGCAAAGTGCAGCCAGCTTACGTACCCACCAGGGCTCTGAGAGTCTCAGTCAGAGGCCAGCAGGGTACCCTGAGGGGTGGGGTGGTCTTTGGCACCTTTCGAGGCCTCACTATGCAAGGCTGGCCTGGATCTCTCCCCAGTCCCACTCCTTTTCCAGCATGGGAATTATGAAAACCCAACAGTGGTGGGTGCCTGCCCTCCTGTTCCTATCTCCATCTGCATCTTCAGTGGGCAGAACCTGCCCTCAGTTTACCCTTCTTTCTCTAAACTGCCCAGGACTTTGGGGGTTGGTGGTAAAGACAGCTGTGCTGACACAGATGTTTGTCAACAGCCGAGAGGAAATCTCTTTATACTTAAAACAAAACCAGCATCAGACCTGACACCAGCCCCCACCCCTCATGTTTCCTGTTTCTGAGGACTGGAGCCAAGGGAGGAAACATCCCAGGGTTCCCTCCCCGGAGAGGACAGTCAAGCCATCGCCCAGGACCCCTCTGCACACCCAGGGAGGCCTGCTGCTCCACCATATGGGAAAACTAACCCGGAAGACTAGACAACTGTGAGGCCACAGCACCCACAGTTAGCGGCTCTGCAGGGCTCAGGCTCTGGGAGACAGATCAGTTCAAAACCTCCCGAATATAAGACCCGTACCATCCAGCCCTCCGCTGAGGCACAGAAACAAGACTGTCCTGTCCATGGTCACCTGGGGTCACAGGCAAGGCCACCACTCTGGGCTGTTCTCTCTCAAGTCCCTCTTCCTCTAAGAACTCCCACGTCCAGCCCCAACTCTGTGGCCTGGTGACCTAGGGTCAGAGTTTCTCTTGCTGAACTTCCTTCCCTCAGCAACTCAGCAGGCTAGAAGAGGCCAAAGCTTTCTGGATGAGAGGCTCCACACCCCGGACAGCCTTGAGCCTATTCTGCCACTCTTGTGCCTCCTGGCTCTGGTGCCACTCACTGGCCATCTTCTCACCTATGGAGGAGGTAAGGACGCCTGCTGAGTAGTCTCAGGTGAGACCTGCCTGCACTGACACAGGCGAGCCACTGACCTCCTGCACACAAGACCTCGGGGGGGTCAACAGGCATTACACTCTGAAGGCCCTAACCCAAGACTTGTCACACTTCTTCCCCTGTGAACAGAGAAGAGTCTGGAGCCCCCAACCTTGAGAAACAAACATTTGTGTTTATTAACCAAAGGAAAGTCAGAGCAGCAGGCTTCTAGCCAGTCCCTTTTCCAGTCTACCCACCCAGGCCAACTGCTGAAGACCAGGAAGAATGATAGCCAGGACCAGCCCTCTCAACCTCCTCCCCAGGGTGAGTTTCCAGGAACCCAGGGCCCACTGGGTGAGGAACAGGAAGTCAACAAAGGAGGACAGAGAAGGAAGGAGGAAACAGAGCCCCGGGGCAGACAGACTCGGAAAAGCGCTTGATACCCAATTCAGTGGAAGGTAAGTGGCCCAAATCCAGCCTCACCAGAGGAACCAGGCAGAAGCACACTGGTGTCACAAACCTTGTTAGGAAATGGGGGAGGCCAAGGGCAACAGCAACCCTCTGCAGGTCAGTCCTTGCTTGCCAGAGGATGCTGGTCTAGGTCCTAAGTCTTGGTCTCTGCACCAAGTTTACCCAAGGAAGCTAGCTGCCTCTGAGTCTGCAGGAAGTCAGCCAGTGGATACAAGAAAGGACAAGGTGCCAACTGTCACTCCACGATGTCCTTCCGGTAAGCCTGAGTCCAGGAGGCCTAGCCCTCAGTGGCAGGAGGGTCACGTGCCTGCCGCAACCCATACAGCCACTTGATCACACGGGCATTGCGTTCAATCACTGACACCCCGTAGGGGACACGCTCCAGGGCCCGCTCCTCCACTGTAACAGAGCTGCGGTGCGAGCAGCCCCCTTCAGAGCTGCAAGGCCCGGCACTTGGTCCGGCGAGAGACACAATGTCCGAGCTAGTCCTTGCTAGGTGAGCCACCCCCAATCTTCGCGCTTCCTCTGGATCCAGGCCGCAGAAGTTAAAAAAGCGCTCAAGATCTGCAGCTGCTCTGGAAAAGCGCTCGCTCAGGTCCGACTTGGAGCGTTGCAGACCAGGGGGCCGCCCCGGGCTGGAAGTGGCAGTGGTGCCAGGTGATGGACAGGGCCGAGCAGGTGAGGCAGGCAGGGGACGAACGTCCACTCGGCGCACTGCGACCGTATTAGGCGGTGGACGAGGAGCAGTGGCTGGTGAGACCTTACGAGCAGATCCTTCTGCCCGCCCAGGCGTTCGGCTGGCCTCAGCTGGGGACACGGGACTATCACACAGGTTGATGAGGCTGCTAAGGATGTCGAGGTCCAGTTGGGGCCGGCGGCCAGGACAGGGCACAGCTCGGCGGCTGGGTGTGAGCACTGAGCTGCAAGGACCAGGGCTGAAGAGGGGCTGTCTGGCCAGCGGGGGCTGCACAGGCTCCTGACGGGTGTTGGCCACATGCACGCTCTTGACGTACTTGGCCTTATCGGCCTCCAGGCGTTCCACAGCGCTCGGCTTCCGGGCTCTCCCATCAGCTGGCTTTGGTAGCAGGTAGTTGGGGACCTTGGTTCGTAGGCGGAAAGGTAGGGAGGGAGCAGCAGGGGCTCCAGGGCTCAGCGTGTCCACAGGCATGGCCGTTACATACCCCGAGGGCAGAGGCGAGGAGACAGATACAGGGACAAAGTTGGCAGCTGGACGCCGGGCTCGACTGCAAGCAAGGAAAGAAGAGAGGCTGAGCACGGTCAGACAAAGGCTCGCCGGGATGCGAAGTCTGCGCTATTATAAAGTAAAAGGCACGCCCCGCCTCGCAAAGAGCCAATCACCAGGCAGAATGCACAGCTGTGGCCCCACCCACACCCTTTCCTTCCAACAGTGGGCGGGGGAACCACACAGCAGAGGAAGGGAGGAAAGAGGTAGAGAAGGCAAGTCCACTTTAGAGAGCAAAGCCCAGCATCCTCTCAACAGCCCCATTTAGGGATGGGGAAAATGAAACTCAAGAGAAGCAATGAACTTTCTTAAGCCACCTCTTACTTCCAGGAGAGGGGGTACCAGTGACCAGGCATTTGCGGTTGAATGACCACCATCCACATCCACTCTAACTGCACAGAGGGGCCAGATACCACCATCCTGCAACCAGCCCAGGCAGGAAGCGGCACAGTGCCAACCACCTGCCTGGACATGCCGGGCCCGCAAGGGGCATAAAAGCAAGAGCCTGCAAGGGAGGAGCAGAAAGTCCCTCACCTAGTCCAGACAAGGGTAGCTTCCAGGATATGTCTCAAAGGCACGGAGATCCAGGCATGTGACAGGAGTAAACAAGCACCGGCCCCAAACTATGCTGTGTTAAGGAACCGTCCAGGTCACAGCCCCACCAGCGCTATGTTGCGGCCAACCACCATGACGGTCAGTGAGCACAGGCTGCTAGGGCCCATGTCTTGGGTACTCAAGTGCCCCCATGGTTATCCAAGAGTCGGATGTCAGGTCATTCCAGGCATCAAGTCCACCAGTTTCCAAGGAAACAGGGTCAGAGAGTGCCACAGTTTTCCCCGCCACCCAGGCCCCTCCAGTATGCACAGGGTAAAACTCAAATGCCAAACCTTCTGGTCCATAAAGAGGGGGAGGGGATCCCCACAAGCATTTGCAGTTCAGGTCACTCAGCACCAGCTCCTGAGCCACACTAACCATGCTTCAAGTTCTCCACAGCTGCATGAGGCAGGGTGACTACCCCAAACAGCACTGACACAGAGTGTGCCCAGACACAGACAAGGACCCCCACTGTGTGCACCACACGCTCTTGTACCACCTCCAAGAACCTGTAACCATTTCAGCTGGGAAAACGTGGACCCTGAGAAGTGACCCCTGTCGGTCCCAGCGGAAATTCAAAAGGCTCCCATCACATCTAGCCTGAGCACATGAACGCCCATCACACACCACAGCTCCACATGCCACGCACACACAGTCTCTTCTCTCACTATAGTCAGGGTACCGTATAACTTACTGTGAGTATGGTTCTTTCATTCTTTGCTGTCCCTCACTCCCTAACATATCAGCTCCACGAGGGCACAGGTTTCGGCTGCTTTGTTCACCAAGTCTCAGCTTCATGGTGCGGCTCTCAACACACGCTAGATATTCCTCAAGGGTGTCCTAAACTGAAATGCCTATGGGAGTCAGCTGAGAACCAGCACACCAGTGAACTAAAGGCCCCCCACTGCGGGCAGGCAGGTCCAGGGTGAAGGGGAGTGTCCCTAGAGGTGGCCATCCAGAGAGCAGGCATTCTCTAGATTTGTAACTGTGACCAGACGCCAGCCCCAGTTTTAAGACTGGTGGTGCTGGGCAAGCGTGTCTGCAGATAGAGCTGCTCTCTTCAGCACCTATGGAAGCCTCAGTTCAGTGGTGGGGGTGGGGTGGGGAGGAGGGCTGCTCCAAAGGCTCAAGAGCCTGGGGGCAGGAAAGGAAGGCTGACCCCATTCAAGGAGAACCCCAGCTGACCTTGGGCAGGAAAGGTCTAGCCAGAAGAGCTGCCACAGAGCCCTGTCTAGGTAGTCAGACTCTGCCCCACCTCCCTAACCCCCACATCTGCTCTGCCACCGAAACCAGTCCAACCCGTTGGTGGTGGCAGAGGCAGCTCCCTCCCCGACATCACCTGGGAAAGAGGAAGGAGGTCAGGGGGGAAGGGCCAGGGCAGAAGCTCCCCCCACCTTCACCTTGCTTTTACACCCACCCCCTAGCCTTAGATAGATATGGGGTCAGGGACAAATGAGGGTTCCCAAGCCTGGCCAGGCAGCCACCAGGGTCCCCGTTCTCCCACCAACTCCTGGCTTGCACCTTGCACAAGAGGCAGCTCTTAACTGACTCTGTTCCCTTCCTTATCTGTTAAACCCAGTTAAAAATAGACCTCCCTGCGCCTTCGGGTCACCGCTGGAAAGATCAAACGGGTTCGGTTCGCAGCACCTGGAAAATGGGCAGCGCTCCAGAAACCAGGTTCGCTGTTATATAGTGAGGCTCTGACTGTGGAGTGAGCAGACCCCGCCCCCTCCGGGGGTCTCTAAGCCTAATCCAGAAGGGCAGATCCAGGCCCCAGCTGGGACGACGGAGACATCTGGGAGGGGCTGATCACAATGAGCCCGCGGACCCGCACCAACTCACGTCACAGGGGACCCTCCAAGAGGAAACTAGGGTCCGGGCCACCAAGTGAGATTTAACGTCTCCTCTGGGGTCTCTTCTCACCTCGGGCTTTCAAATGCTGCCACAAATGGTCCTAAATGCACCAACCCTGAGCCTTTCTGGTCATTGTTACAGAGCCTTACCCCAAGGCGCGGATCAGGACGCCAGGAAGGCCCCTAGTTTGATTTCGGCCCGTCCTCACTTGGAGGCAATTCTAGAGACTCGGGCGGCGAGCCTTGAGGTGGGCGAATGCTGTGTGACCCCCACGATCTGCTATCCCTCTCTGAGCAGGAGTTGGCCCACGTCTCGAATGCGGGAAGGCACAACCCCTACTGCGCCCCCCACCCCCCTGGCACCGCAACATACCTGGTTCCGCAAGCCGCCTCCTGCCAGCAGCCTGCACGCCTCCCGCCCACCTGGCTCAGGTAGCCGGCGTTTGCGCAATTTCCGGGGCCTGGCAGGTGAACCCGCCGGTGAGGGATCCTGCCAGGAACCGCGCCCCCTCTCATCCTAGCCGGAGCCTGCAAGGCCGGCAGCACGTTTGACGGAGTCGTGCGGGATTCTACTTGATGTTCACTGCCAGGCACGAGAAAGTGCCCTTCCTGAACATTTAATCTTTCCGTGATTAAACGGGGCATAGTGAGAACTACTGTGGTCTGGGTAGCCTTCCTATGAGGCAACTCCATTGTCATCCAAGTTGACGAATGGAAACCCCAGACAGGCCAGGCTGAGTCACTTGTCCAAAGTCAACCGGGGTGGGGGTAGGGGGAATCCAACCTGGGTACTTTCCCTCCCGCTACTTCACGCTACCCTATCCTCCTGCGTGCCAGCAGGTGGCCAGGGCACAGTCCCATGAACAAGAAGCGTGGGACCTTGGGGGACAGCCCACTGTGAGCTCTCAAGGCTTGAGGGTGCTGACTACAGCTCTGTGCCAGCTGGACAGCCACAGCAGGAGTGGCAAGAGATGGCCCGGCTAACGCTTGAACAGCAGGAGGCCAGCAATCTAAAACCCATTTTTAACACTGGGAGACTACAACCCTGCTGGGGGGTGCCTAGGAGGGCCCCACCTGTGCCCTCTGTCAGCCCAAGGCTTTTGTCACTTTCCAGGGTATTGTGAGGTTCAGGGGAAGGATAGCCATCAAGGCCTCAGACTCCAGCCCTGGCAAAGCCCTCCTATGGTACAGGAGGGGCTGGGGAGGAGGAGACAGGAAGTGGTTCCTGGCCACTTTCCTTCCCTCTGAGCACTGAAGGTCCCCCCCCCCCCAGTCCTGGATATTAATAGGGACAGGGAACAAGTGACCCACTATGGCCTGCCTGCTAGCTCACTGCCTGACCCTTCCAGGATAACAAAGGGACAGGCTTAGAACTTGTCTCAGGCACTGACACTGGGAACTACGAAGACTGCACTTGTCAAAGGTGAAGCCCAGGTGGTTTCTGCACATCTGTCTGCCACCAGACAGCGTTTGGAGCTTGTGGTTGTTGCCATTAGTGGAGGGTGAATGTTTGTGGTAATCAGGGTCTTGCAGTTTAGTACAGACCATTCTGGAACTCTCCATCCTCCTGCCTCAGCCATCCTTCTGGGATTAAATGTGTGCACCACCATGCCTAGCTCAAATTATATGTGAGCTCATTTCATTCTTATACCCACCTATGAGTAGACAAAGCGTCTGCCTTTGTGCCCATTCTACAGGTGAGAAAACTGAGGCACAGAGAAGTGCTGTTGCCTGTCTGAGATCACACAGTCAGGAAATGACAGAACTGGGATTTGAACCTAAGTTTGGACATGGGAAAGAGAGAAACAAGAGACAGAATATGCCTCCTGGGAAATTCCATAAGACCCCCAGCCAATTTGCTTAGGCTCCATAAGGCGCTGCCACCTATGGAAACATATCCAGCTGTGTTTGGGGCTACAGCTCCCTCAGCTATAACATGAAGTAACAGGGGCAGTGTCTTCCTAGCAGATCAGTCTTCACTACCGCTGTGCTAGCCCAGCCCCTGTGCAGCCCTGGTCTCTGCCCAGCTCTACCACCTCATCCACGGTGTCATTCTTGGCCTGGCCGCAAAGCCCTCCTGGCTAGTCCTTTACAAAGGTCTTCCCTGTCCTGGGGCCTTTGCACCAGCTAGAGCCTCTTCCCTCACTGTCTTCAACCCTTATTTCAAAGGTCATTTCCTCTGAGAGCCCTCCCTGTCTACCCTGTGAGGCCCCCACAGACCTTCTTGCCCCCTTTGCTCTCCTCCAAGCACCTCTGCTGATCTTGCCATCCCGAGTGTTCACTTATCTGTCATTCATTTCCTAGCTGCCCACTGCTGAGCCCCAGCACTCTGCCACATTGGCCCCCTCCCAGGAACAAATAAGAGAAAACATCGATGATCCGAGAGGCTGAAGGAGGCGCAGGCCAGCATCAAGATATACACATCAAACACACACAGGAGACAAGAAGGAAGGGAGGGGCGCAGTAAAGAAGGAGCACAGAAGGGCCCCTGTGTCCCCAGCACACCTACCGCACAGAACATTTGACAAGATCTTGGTGATCAGCTGACTGACTGGCCATGTCCCCCTTGTAATTACTAATTAGCTGGGGGCAGGGGAGACCAGGATCCCTGAGTGCCAAGTCTCCCCTAGGCTACCACATTACTCTTTCCTTCCCACATGCAGCCCTCTCTCAGCCTTTTATCACCCTGCTCCAGCCTGGATACTTCCAGCCATCCCCTGTTCTTCCTCCAAAGATGCAGAGCCAAAATCTTCAGGACTCTGGCCCACCCCACCTAAACCGCTGCTGCAGGAAACTTCTCCATATCTCAGTTTAATCCACTATAAAACAGGCCCAAGGCAGGACAGCTGCCATCAGAGTGAGAGCTGTGATGGTGATGGACACGCTCCTCCAGGGCTGAGCTCTGGGGAAGGCCTCCACCAGCATGCTGCAAGGACCAGAGCAGCGGTGTGGGGACAGCTGAAAGTTCAGTCACTTGAAGCAACATTCCCACAAAGAAAACAAGCCAGGCACGCTGGCGCATACCTTAATCTCAGCAGTCAGGAGGCTGAGGCAGGAGGATTATGAGTTTGAAGCCAGCCTGGGACACACACACACACACACACACACACACACACACACACACTTTCTAAAGAGCCAATGAATTTAAGGAAATACAAATAAAAACCACAGCAACACAGTGTCCCACCCATTAACGTAGATCCTATCCAAAGCACACTATTAAGGCATCAAGTGTCAGTGAGAGGTGCAGCTTTAGAACCCCCTGCAGCAGGGAAGAGAGGGAAAAGCACAACACGCCAGTTCCTTGAAGTGAGTGACCAGAACCAACACCAAAAGAACCGCGCTTCTAAAGACTCCTCTCAAAGGACCAAGAGCGTGCATGCCATCAGAAAGCCTCACGATGAAACCCCAGCAGCATTGGTCACCCAGCCAAAATGTGGGTGCAACCCATCATCGAATGAATGGGTGAAGAAACATAAGACACATGACCGGTAAGTTATCCGGCCTTTAAGAGGGAAAGCTGACCGACAGCTGCATCAGGAGGGAAACGGAAGAGTCAGGCTGAGTACAGTGAGCGAAATACAGTGAGGCAGACACTGCTTCTACGAACATCGAGTCAAAACTCTAGGACCAGGGGGGAGTGGAAGCTGCCAGGAAAGGGTAAGCTTGAGGGTGCGAAATGACTTTGTTGAGTGTGGAGTTTTTGTACACTTCCAAGTGATGAAGTTGGGGTCAGAGAGATGGCTTGGAGTAAAAGTGCTTGCCATACAAGCCTGGTGACGTGAGTTCAATCCTCCGGCCTCACCGTGGAAGAACTGACTCTTTAAGTGTCCTCTGACTTCTATATGCCTGTTGTAGCATATGCATTCATGGAGTAAAAGCAGTAACTCCATAAAGGTAAGGGAAATCCCGGCTCTTACTGGAAAGGAACTCAGCAAGGGCGAGTGCCCTAAGCCGGAACAGCTGTGTGTCCCCTCTTTCCCTTCTATCCTTTCCTCAGGAAAAGGTGGGATTTCTCGGGTTGATCATTTTAGGACACTCTGCACCTCCCCACCTGCTTCTCCGCCCTTTCAAAGGAAACCTGGAATAGGCTTGGTAGATAGGGAGGCCTTTGGCTGCTGCAGAGGAGGATCAAGAAGGCTCCAGGCAGTGGGGTAGCGCCAGCCCAGCTGTCCAGGTCAGACACCCTACTGGCCATTCTCCAGGGCAGGCCAGGTTCCAAGCTATTTCTGGAGTTTTCACCAGGATCGTGCCCTGGCCTGCCCAGGAGTCAGCTTTGCTCAGAGTAGCTTTGCACAAACCTCAGGGAGGGAGTTGTGAGTGGGCCACCATGGGAGGGGCGTGGGTGTGGAGGCCTAGGGCAGTGAGCTCCTTCCTGAACGAGGCTCTGACACATTCCTCCACTAATTCAAACTTTGGGGACTCAGTTTGTACCCCGACAAAATGGAAACAAAGGCAGGTCTGCAGTGGCAGAGAGAGAGAGAGGAAAGAGAGAATCTAACAAGCAAAGCCTTAGGGAAGAGCCTGACACACAGGATGGGAAGGTGAAGCTTGACTTAGACCTGTGGCCACGCCCACTTCCGGTCCTCCAGTATCTTCTGCCTCCTTCGGCCCAGGCTCGAAGGCACTGTTTTGCACCTCAGCTCAGAATTCGGAAACTTTCCCAAAGTCACACAGCCAGTGACAAATCACAGGCAGGGCAGTGACCTCATAACTTTCTGTCGATGTAATCACTATGTCTGTGGCTTTGGGCTGACCCACAGTCAAGGCTTGGGCTGGCAAAGCACTCTGTGCTGTGTGTGTCATTTCCCACCCAGCTTCTCTGCTCAGTAATCTGTGTTCCTCTTGGTACCACATCACCTAAGGTGTTGTGGATGATTTCCCATCAGCACCTGCTGATGGCCACCCTGCGCCTGTCCTGCTTGCTACAAGCCACTGCAGCATCTCAGCACCTGTCATTTTGTCCGTAGCTGGATGGGGAAGTGGGGTGGGGGGTCATAACAGTGATGCCTGTGCTTGCCAGAGTCCGCCTGAGCTGACACCACCCCGCTCCACCCCCACCCCCAGCGCAATACACGGCAAATGGTCAACAGATGTTGGATTTGATCCTCTTGATTCCGGAAGTTTCGGGCACCCTGACACTTTGTGGCCTGTTAAGCATCTCACCTGCCTGACACATTCCAACGGGGAAGATAATAAACCGCCTAATAAGATAGCTAGTGCACAACACGGAGCTGACGCCACTGAGAAAAACAAGGCGTTCAGGGGAAAGGCCAGGCCACAGGAAGCTGGACAGTGGGGAAGGAACAAATGAAGCGGCAGGCCTAGTGAAGTTGGTGGAACGCTGGTTTAGCACACACGAAGCCCTCGGTTCCGTCCTGAAAATGGCATAAAACTGGTGTGGCAGTGGCCCAAGCTTGTTCATCAGAGGAGGCAGATTTAGGAGGATGGGGAGTTCAAGACCAGCCTGGTATACATAGTAAGCCTGAGGCCAGCTTAAACCACACAAGAGTTTGGGGTGGGAGGCATGACACAAGGACAGACAGATGGACAAACATAGACTGCCCCAGAGCCAGAGCTGAGGTGCAGAAGATGAGCAGTTCCCTTTCGAGGAGATCCTCCAGCAAACCCCAGATTCCCTATGTCAAGGACTGACTCCCACATAGTTAAGTCTGTGACTTTGAGAAATGGGCTCAACTTCTCAGAACCTCAGTTTCCCCACCCACAAAAGGAGACTAACAACAGCAACTTGGGAAAGGGGAGCAGAATCTAGCCTAAATTAGATGATCCACTTGGGAGGGGCTGACACCCCCCTCCACCAAACATTCAGTAACCAGCAACCCTGGCTTAGAGGTTGACCTCCCACACACACACACAGACACACACACACACACAAGCACATACCACACACAGGAGCAGACTCCCAGGAGGCCCACATGACTTCCAGGGCCTTTGGATCTGCTGTACTCCCGAATCTAATCTGCCCCTAGGAAGGCCTTCTGAGAGGGGAGCAATGGGATTCAGGAGCCCTTATGCAGAAAAGTTGCCAATGGGGAAGGAAAGGCATATGTCCTGAAGGGGAACTCCACTGACGGGTGGGGCAGGAGTAGCCTAGCCCTGTGATCCCCGGAGCCACCGCCTCCCAATAAACCCCTGAGAGACCCGCAGGGGCCCTCTGCCCTCTCGTGATCTGCCTGGAGTCGGGGCTGCAAGGTGAGACGAGGAAAGCCTGGATCCTCTGCTGGCCCCTGGGCTGGACACTAGACAAGAACCCTCTGTCGTCGGCCCCCTGTGCTGAGACGCTTGCCTGGGTTGGTGCGTGGACCCTGCCCCGGGTCCCTCCGCCCCCTTACCCGGGTGCTCACCAGCAGCTAGCGCCCGCGGAACCCCGCTCCTCGCCGGCTGCCGAGGCTGACAGCTGGAGTGCGTGGTTCCCGCACAGGCTGCCGCCGCGTAGAGAGACCCTTCCGAGCGGGAGGCCACAGCTGTCCCACGATCCCGTCGGGAGACGGTCCCCAGAGCCCGGAGGAAAGGGAAGTGAGCACGCCGGCCCCGTCGCCGCAATGGTTCGCCCCGGACTTCCTGATTGGCCCGTCGCTTCCGTTCGAACGGCGCGCCACCCCTGTTGCCAGGCGACCTCAGGAGCGGCAGATGCGGGCCCCACGGTAGCTGCTGGGAGCCCAGCTGGCCTCCCCGCCTTCCGGCTGCCCCGGCGCTGTGCCTAGTGCATTCCCTTTTTTCTCCTCTCTTCCAGCTGCTATTTCCTCGGTCCCCAGCTGCAAGATTTACTAGTCCCAAATTTGTTTGGTTTTGCACAAGCTCTAGTCCCAACATTCTTGGCTTTTGAGGCCTGACCTTGACATAGAGCTACCCCAGCCTCCCTAGTGCCAGGATTACACACATATACCACATCTGGCTTTCTTTTCACTTTTTTTATTTTGAGACAGGGTCTCACTAAGTTGACCAGGCAGATCTTAAATTCACTGCTGTAGTCCAAACTTGCTATCCACCTGCCTCAGCCTACCCAAGAGTTGGTATTACATGCCTGGTCACCAAGCTGGGCCCTACCTCCAGCTCTGCAGCCACCTCTGCGTGATTTCCCATAAGCCTCTGCTCTCTCTCTGTTCTCCTGACACAGTATGTCAGTTTTCAAACGTGCACACCAGTTGTTCCAACAATCCTTATCAAAAGCAGGTCAATTATAGTGTAAAAGTCCATCCTGGGAGGAAGCTAAATTGAGCTTTGTACATGATTCTTGTCAGTACTCCTGACAAAACTCTGAGGTAAGTTATTTCCACTTTCTGGTTAGAAATATTATGCAGTAACTTAAAATGAGCAGTAAAATAACATTTAAAAATAATGGAGGAATGCTAAGGAAGTGTTGCATTTTAAACATGTTTCAAAGTATTCTATATAGCACAAATAGATATCAAATACATAGCCATACTATTCGTATAATAAACATTCTATTTATAACAACAGCAGCTATTTCCTTCTACATTAAATATAATACTTTTATTCATTCTTTGAAAAATTTTATGCATAGATACAATGTATTTTGATCCTGTTTGCCTCATCCATCTTCTCCTAACTCCTCCTATATCCCTTCTCACTCCCTCCCTTTGTTTTTTTATAAGCCAAGTCCAATCTGCTGCCCATCTATTCATGAGTGTAGGACCACCCCCCAGACCATGATCAAACTGCCAAGAGCTGGATCCTTAAAAAGACTGACTTTCCTTCCCCGGAAGCATTCAACTGTACATAGCTCCTCAGCTAGGAGTAGGGGCTCATGAGCCCCTCCCGCTTTGTGCTGAAATGTTAACGAGCTTGACCGTGTGCAGGCTACCACAGCTGCTGTGGTTCACAAGCATCGTGGCCGTGAAGTACCCAGAAGGCTCTGTTTGGCCTGGTCCTTTCCGACCTCTGGCTGTACACTCTTTCTGTCCCCTCTTCCTCGATTTGCTACAGCTCTCACATGTCTATCTGAGCACTCCATTGACGCTTGTTCTCGGTGAATCTCTGCTGCCATCCATTGCACAACGAAGCTTCTCTGATGAGGTCTGGACGCTGCACTAATCTTATCGGTATAGAGATATGAATGTAGGGGGCAGTTTGTCCATTTAGCAAGCTCCCCAGCCATGGGTTCTTGGCCAGAGTGGCAATACCATGCATATATAGTGTCCTGTGGAACTGGACTGAAATCCAACCCGAGAGCTGTTGGCTACGCCCACTGCGTTTGTGCCACTATCACACTCAGGCCATGCCAGTCACTGCTGCAGCTCAGGGGCTTCACATCTAGGTAAGACTACTGATGTCTTTTCTTTCCCAGCCACCTGCGCCCAGTGTCTGGCGCTATGAGAGCTGGCCTGCAGGGAGGGTGCTTCCTGGCAGCGTTTAATTTGTTATTCACGCTTTTACAAATTCTGTAAATTTCTAACTCTTAAACTGTCAAGGGAAAACTTTTTTTAAACTTCTGTTTGTGTGTATGTCTGTGTGATGTGTTCATACGTGTGTGTTTAGTACACACATATGTGTACGCAGAGAGACCAGAAGAGGAATTTGGATCTCTCTCTGCCTCTGTCTTTCTGTCTCTGAGATAGGGTAGGGTCTCTCTAACTGCACTTTTGGCTACTTTATTGGGTTCTTTTTCCTGCCTCCCTATCATCCCATCCCTTCCATCCACCCAACACTAGGTAAGAGAACAGGAATAAGATGCTTGGGGCTGAAGAGATACATAGTATCATTTGCCCTTCCCGGGGATCCAGGTTCAAATCCCAGAAGCTACACGGGGGCTCACACTGTCAGTAACTCCAGTTCCAGGGGATCTGATATTCTCTCCTGGCCTTGTGACGTACGGACATATACACAAACAAAACACCCATATACATTTTGGGAGGGATTCAAGGCAGGATTTCTCTGTGTAGTACTGGCTGTCCTGGAACTAGCTCGCAGACCAAGCTGGCCTTGAAATCAAAGATATGCCTGCCTCTGCCTCCTGACTACTGGGCATGATCCACCACCACCCAGCAATCCATATGCATTTTTAAAAAAGTATAATATTCTCCCAAATAGTCCTCTGGGACACAAATTCTAGTGGGGAGAGAGTTTCTGTACAAAATGAAGCTGAGACAGTAGATCATATTGGGAGACTGATCAACTGTATCAATTTCTTGGGGCTCTTACTCTGCACCTGGCCTGAGTTTATGTTTGTATTGAGTATTCTCTTCTCTAGTTAAAAGAGAAGGACGAGAACAAGGGCCTCTTAAGAAAGAAAAAATTCCTGGAATACAGGTGTAATGGCAGCAGATGAAAAATTCCCCAAGACAATGACCCACATGGAATAACAACAGTGAGGCCCTTCAAGGCCACACCATCATAAGATGAGTTGAGTATCTGGATCTTTGGATATGAAAAAAAAAAGTCTTTACTATACAACAGGGGAAAGAAGAGGGTCACGAATTGTTCCCAGAAAGACTGAAGGTTCAGATTAGAAAGTACTCAGGATTAGGCACAGACAAGCCTTTGGGACAAGGGCTGCTAAAATTACATTTGGTAACTAACATCTGGCCAGACACAGCAGGAAAGTTACAGAAGACTAGGGGGTGGAAGGTCAGAAACTTGAGAAGTTGAAACCCAAAAGGCATATGTAATAAAGGAGGAAGAAAAGCAACAATAATATCAGTTAAAAACAAACCTAGCAGTAGAGCAGGACCCAGGAACTAAAGTTTCCTGTCATCAGACAGAGGACTCCTGCCACAGTTTTCTTCTCTGTTGCTGTGATAGAACACAGACCAAAATCAATGTTGGGGAGTGTTTGCTTGACTTGTAGGTCACAGTCCATCGCTGGTGAATGTCAGGGCAGGAACTGCAGCAGAGACGGAGGATGATCGCTGCTAACTGGCCTGTTTTTCATGGCTTGCTGCTTGCTTTCCTATCCAGCCCAGGAGTACCTGCCCAGGGGGACACCACGCACAGTGGGCTGTGCCCTCACACATCAATCATTAATTCCAAACCTGCTCCACAGATTTGCCTACAGGCCAATCTGATGGAGACACCTCTTCCCAGATGACTTTAGTTTATGTCAAGTTGACAAAACAGGACCAAAAAAAAGGAAAACAAACCAAAACTATTGCAACCCCCAGTAGAACTGGGGCAGAGAAAAATTCCGGAGAGAAAAGAGAAAACAATGTTACAAATGTGAGATGAAGGGACATTTCAAGGGGGATGTAACAAAAAAGAACAGGAAGTAACCCCCCTTGTGACCTCTGTTGCACATCTAATTTGGCTTCAACTCTTGTTTAGGGAAATGGAATAAGAAACAGGTAAAAGAAAGAATTGACCAGAAGTTTGTAAATATGAGGTTATAATTTTGGTAACAGGTGTTTAAAACAAAATAGAATAGAGAGTACTTTAGATAAGGGTGAATTTTGTATGATAAAATGGTTTTGTCCTAAGAATGAAAAATAAGAAATGAGGGCAAAACCATGAAAGCATAGAGCCAGGTCATAGAAGGTCTGAGCAGGCAGTTTTACAAAGCCCAAGGGGCGGGACTTAGGATGACATACGTCTGATGATCAAAGACTCTGAGTGGTTAAAAGCTCCAAGGCTGTGCTGATCTACTCACGGCAAGGTTTACCACAACACGCATGAATGTCTGCTGGAGAGAATCACTTGCGTTTTTGCTAACTTTGCTAGGATTTAACTTCTTGGGGAAATGGGAGTCATAACCAAAATCAAGATTCATTTAAAGCTGTCTAGTTTGTTTTGTCTCATCCTAACCTTGATGCTACACAGAAGCAGAATTTCATGAGGAGAAAAGCCACCTTCTGGGGGTCAACTACCAAGGCCCAGAAGCCTACACCAATGAGGACAGAAGGGTCAAAAGAGGACAGCCTCTTGTCCTCCAAGGTTAACCAAGACCCGGGCCTAAGGGGACCCCTCTGATAAGTCACTTGTCCTCTTGGTCAAAAAGGCCACAAAATCTCCAGAGATTGAACTCCAAACAGTATCCATAGGAGGGGAGGGGAGTCACTGGGCACCCCAGGCTATGCGTTAGCATTGTTTAGTCTACAATTGCTGAAGGTGTGTGTGTGTGGCAAGTCTGACTTGCCAATGGATAAGCAAGAAGATGAAAAAAAAGTAATTGTATGAGATACCTCAGAATCTGAGACCCTGAGTTTCCAGGGAGACACCACAGAAATGTAGGTCGAATGAAATATTTATCGGTTATTGTAAACCACTTAGCTAATTGCATGGAACCTTTCCCTCTCCCTGCAGCTAACCGTATGATGAAGATACTTTTAGAACCCATAGAAAATACCAAGACAGATGAAGCAGAAACCATCTTACTGCCACTGTTCTAAACGAGCTGGTTGCAAGTTAACTGGGACTGTCACGCTCCTTGGCTCCCTTCCTCCTCAGGTGAAGTTGAGAGAATGAGTAAGATCCTTAAATCACAAATTACTGAGGTAATTTCAGGGTCTCATTGCCTTGGGTTAAGAGTCTGCCTACAGCTTTTGCTTAGAATCTGTACATCCCT